GAATGTATTTTAGTATATGTTGAAATATTGAAGGAAATTATAGCGCTAGTATTAAGAGTAGAACTAGAGCTACCATACGTGTGTATTAAATATGGTTGATTTTAGTTGTTACTATGAAATAAAAAGATGAATTTTTCATTTTAGCTTATGTACTTATGTTATAATCGAAGTTGTTGTTTTTCTTAAATTTAAAGTGGCTAAAGTACTGCAGTTTCCATAACTGATAAAGCATACAGTGGAGTGTGGTTTTAATTTAAAACTTAGAATTCGAAAAAAAAATACGAATATAAAAAATGGGATAAACTAAAAGAATGTCGAAACGGAATGCCCTTTGGTTATGACTGAGAAAAAAATGCTAGTTGAATATAATGTTGAGGGAGAGGATGAATGACAGCTTGTTACTTAAGTTTAAAACCTGCAGCAGAAATCTTAAAACTCCTAATACTAATAGTGAGTAATACTACTTACAAGTTACAAGAATATCAATGTATTAAATTAAAAATGGAATGATGACTCGGAATACTAACAAACTAGTATAATCATGAATAATTAAGGATTGAAAGAGTAATCTGAAAACCTTTGACACAGTTTAGTAAAACTACAAGTAAACCAACATACAGAATGAAACTGAAAGTGGAATGACAGGCCAGTAATAATAATAAATAAAAAATATATATATAATTATACATAAGTAGGTAATGACAGCTTCTATCTTAAAATCCTCAACAGAAATCTTAGAAACCCAAATACCATTCCTTGCAAATGAATTAATGCATAAAATAAAAGTGGAACTACAGCTATTTTCCAGAGAATGGTGGACTGGTGGTACTAAAAACGGAAAGTGGAGCATTTGATATATCCACCCCTTTACTTTAGTTAAAAGGTAAAATTTTCAAAAATATGTTGTTTTCATATTTCCATGTGCACAGTGATGCTCAAGTGAGTTTCTAACTTTTGCTGCCCCTAAGGAACAAACTAGGTTAAGTGAAGATTAAGAAGCCTGTTTGTCTGATTCTCTTACAGGAATATCAACATTGTTTTGAATTAATGAACTAATTATTCTTGTAACCCAATCAGTTAATAGTTGTGGATGAACTTGATCTGCAGTGCCTGTTGGCCAGCTGATCTAACAAGCACCAGTCCCTTTTATTATGTCAGGAACTTGACGGTTTAATTACATATTTAAGATAGTGTTGAGGTTAAGAAGAGCAGATTTTTACAGAGATTTCTCATAGATTTACAAATGTTTGTTTTTATTCAGTTAATTTGTTCAACAGAAGCCACATTGATTTTCACTGATCTATTTTCTCTTTGTTTAATGCAATGAGACCTCCTATTAAAATTCTTGCATTAGAATAGAATTGCTTGTTTCTGCAGGTTAGGGTATTTTCTTACATTTTATTTAAATTTTAAGTAGGACTTTGAAGTTATCTTGCTTTATTAGGCATTCATCTTCCATGAGCAAAGTTTAGATTCATTTGTTTAAATTCACTTTATCTAATGTGAGGGCTATAAGGCTCTTGTAATTGCTTCAGAATTGTTTACATTCACCTTATACAAATGAGTTGCAAGAGTTCATTTTCATTTGGGAAGTGTAATTGTTAGTCATTTAAGTGGAGTTATTTTATTAGTTTAATCTAAGTAAGGACTTGTATTTCATAGTTCTAGTGTGTTTACTTAAGTTAAAATGAGAGTATCTTAGCTTGGAGTTATTTTTATTTAATGTTTTCATTTCACTAAGTCTAACTCACATGGGGAAGTATACAGATCATCAGGAGTATTTTGGTATTAAAGTCTTCATTCAGTCTTGTAGATTTTACATTTTCTATTCAAAACTTCAAAGCATACTTGATCACTTGCTCATTGTATTGTGTGAGTGAAGTATTATTTGGTGGTATTGTTAACTGTGATTCATTAAGTATTTCTTTGCACAAATTTGTGTCTTGTCCTCTTTCTCTGTGATGTAACTGTTATAACTTGTTAAGGAGTTTACCCCAAGCCTGAGATCTGAGTGCCCACAGTAATTAGTGGGCCTGATTTTTCTTCTTTACTGGCCATATGCGAGGTACCACACATGAATAAGGAATAACAGCTTGTATCTTAGGCCTCAAAAATTGTTTTCTTTGTCAACTCATTCCACTTTAATTCTCACTCGTCGTGCATTTTTCAGTTATGTACTGCATTTTAAGCGATATATATTATAAATACTGTGAAAAGTAGGACAAGTCATTCAGCAAAGTACTAAGAAATTGGCTAAAACGAAGAATATGTATAACGGAGAACAAAACTTTTATTTTTCATAACTTTGAATATTTTATCCATATAGTATTCTAAATAACTATTTAACCTTGAACACTTCAGCCTAGTCTATTATATAAATTCAATACTTTTTCGTAATGTAAATTTTTTCTTAACTTAGTCTTAATTTTAATGTAGCTATAATACTTATAAAATCTTGAACATTTTAGTCTTAACTGTATGTAACTTAAACTGACCTTTATATATAATTTACAGTTCCCACCATTTACTCCAACTTGCTTTCATCAGATGTCAGCTGTCTGCTAGCTGTTTGATACTTTCCCACAGGACCAGAGCATGTGTGGCATTTGGTACATCTTGTCCCTTTTCTACTGTTTAACCATTTCACAGTGCTTTTTTGTTGGATTATAATTTTGTAGGTATGCCCATCTACCTTGGGTATTACCAGAGCAGACTAAGTTTCTTGGTTTAGAGACATCCTTATCCCTGTTTTAATGTTGTTAAGTTATCTAAATCCCCTTTCACATTCAGCTGTTGATTGCCAACATAATGTTTACTAGGAACAAAATATGTCTTAAGTACTCGGCACCCTCATTAGCAAAGATGCTTTCATATGAATCTATAACAGGTCTGTTGAGATTTCTAGTGATGTCTTTTTCAAGTCCAACCACTTTTCCAAGACCTAATCCTTTTCTTTTTCTAATAACAGTGTGTAATTTAACTTGATAATTTCTTCATCTCTGTAGCCTTTGATCTCTCAATAACTATTATCCTTACTTAGCTAAAGGTGAAAATTGAATATGTTGAACAGAGAACGTGGCTCTACTTCAAGGTGTTTTATGATTCTCTCTTCCAGGCAAAATTTTACTGATGACAATAGCTCATCAGTGTAATCATTTATTTGCTCTTTTTATAGTCATTTCTACCCCCTCTAAATTCATACAGTTTCACTGAGCAATTTCCTAAACATTTTGCCTTGTCTTCTTCTCATGTTGACAGATGTTTCCCTCAGTTCATTCACCCTCTTTCATAGTTTAGAAACCTGACTTTTTTCGGTTGAAAAAGGACTGAAACTTCAGATAGAAAATGTGTCCAGTATATCATGAAATGTAAGAATGTTAAAACCTTTATCTTTTACATATCTCTCTCTCTCTTGGTACCATTCCCATATAGGGTGTTGGTGAGCATGGTCTTCCACTGATCCCTGTCTCCCATTGCTCTTCTCATTTCTATAGTGGTAATTCCTAGTTCCTTGACAATTGTTGATAGCAGCATCTGTCTTTGTCTTCCTTTATTTTTCTTTCCTGGGATTTTTTCTGTCATAATGATGTTTTCAATCTCTCTTTTTCTCATGATATGTTCTATAAAACTCCATTGTCTCTTTGTTAAATTTTTCCACAACATTTGTTTTGTCTTGGCCTTCTGTAGAATCACTTCATTACTTGTATTTGTGTTCCATGATATTTTAAGCATTCATCTAAGGAACCACATATCTACTGCATCGATGCATTTCTTCATTATTGGTAATACTGTCCAACATTTGGAACCATGGAGAAGGATTGGATGAACATAGCACTATAGAACTCTGTCATGTTTCAATTATGAATTTGTTGGTGAATATGGTTTTGATTTCCAGAAATGCTTCTTTTGCAATTCCTATTTGCCTTTTGATTTCATGATCACATTTTCTGTCTGATGATATCCAGCCTCCAAGTTATTTAAATTTATTTACCTGCTTGATTGTTTCATTCCCAAAGGTTAAACTATATTCAGGTATTTCCTTCTTCTTAGTGATCATCATACATTAAATTTTCTTGCATTTGATGGCCAGTTCTTTTCTCATATTTTCCATTACAACTTTGTTGAGTTTCTGTAAATTTTCTTTTGTACCAGCAATAAGTACAGTATCATCTGCGTATCTTAAATTGTGTACATTTTTCCCACCAGCTATAACCCGATGAAGGTCTTGTATTTCATGGAGTATCATTTCACTGTATAGGTTGAATAGATCTGGTGAGAAAACACATCCTTATCTAACCCCTCGTTGTATCTTGGTATATTCACTTGTTTGATCTTCCATTCTCATGGCTGCTGGTTATTCTGATTATTCAGAGGTCTTTCCCATCTATGTCTAAATTTAGCAACATTTGTTCATGTTGTACCTCATCAACACATTTTGCATAAGCGATAAAGCAGACAAACAGATTATGTTGTACTTGGATTGCTCATTTTGAGAGTATTCTTAGTATTATTATTATTCTATTTATAGTGCCTTTATCTGCTACAAACCTACATTGTTCTTCTCTAATTTCAGGTCTTATCTGTTTCCTTGCTCTCATCATGATTATTCTGAGGATTATTTTGGTGATATGACTCATGAGGCTTATTGTTCAGTGTAGCTTACATGCAATTGTGCCTGGTTTCTTGGGCAGTGTGATTAACTTACTTTGGTCCATTGGAATATTTCCACTCTCGTATATTTCATGTAGCATCTCAGTAAGTTTGAAAATGCCAAACTCTTTTAAGCTCTGTATCATTTACACAGCTATATCATCTGGTCCACTTGCTTTATTTCATTTGCTTTTATTCACTGCTGTCCTCACCTCTGACTGGAGAATTTTCAACCCTTCCATGTCTCTTCAAATTTTTGGTTTTCGCCTTGTTTATCTTTAAAGAGATTGTTTCTATTCTATCCATCCTTCTAGGATTTTCTCTTTCTCTAAAATATAAGTGCTATGTGTGGCTTTAATGCAGCCACTTGAGGAGCATGCATTTTGTTTCCCTGTGATGTTTTTTATTCACTTGTATAGTTTTGATGGTTCATTTGTTTTATATGTACTTGTAATGTAAGGATAGTAATGGACTTGTTAGTCCTTCTAGGCCATCCCATCCACTATACTAAACTCCAATAAAAATAAATCACTCAAAGCAAGCCCTTATCATTCAGATATTTATCTAGCATTTTTTTCCATAAACTCCTTTAAGTTAACTTCATCTACCACATCTTAAAACCATCCATTCCAAATACTAACAACCTGTTAGAAAAATAAATCTACCTTTGTTCCCCTAGCCTTCCCATTCTTACAATTAAGTGCAAAAATATGATTCATCAACACTGTCAGTTCCTTTAATAATCTTAAACACCACAATCAGTTCCACTCTAACTGTTCTCTTTCAAAAGAAACCAACTA